AAAGCCAGGCTGGAACTGAGAATTGCCCCCTTATCTTATTTGTCAAAAGAACTTCAAATATGTCAGAGACTCTTATGCTCAGTGATGACTAAGGCCATGGAAAGCATGATGTTGGCATTAAATAAGCATTTTTGAACACTAGGAGCACAAGAGAGTTACCCCACCCCTTAAATAAACTAAAAAAAGACCACAGAGAATTTTAAAACACCATTCCAGCTACCTCTGCACTTTTGGCATGAATTTCAACCCAAAGTGTAACTCTTTCGAAAAGCGATAACTGCTTGTAAATAAGGTCATTTACTAATGCTGCCCTCTCGGTAATGGATACCACATCTCTCAGTAATCACATTAGTGATCCTTTAGCATGAGTGAGTCAGATTCTCAACTGATGTAAGTCAGAACAGCTCCACCAGAGTCAGCTGAGGAGCTAACAGCATTTGTTTGATGTGAAATACGTATACATTTTATATGGCTGATCATTGAGCTTTGAAGATGGAGTGTAGTGGAGCACACATTTTTCCCCCTCCCTAAAGTGAGATACCTGCTCTTTTGAATCAGCAGAGCAGAAAAGTTTGAAGAAGAAATGAAGGACCTGACTCTCCTCTGCCTTGCACTTCATGTGGTCATTTACTCCAGTGCAAACTGGGTCTAAAATGCTACCAAATCAGATTAGAGATAGGCTTGAGCTTCTGCATTCAGATTCAAAGTTCTTCAAAATGTAAGGTGTCCATATGTAAGATTGGTTTCAGAGTAGCAGGCGTGTTAGTCTGTATCCGCAAAAAGAAAAGGAGTACTTGTGGCACCTTAGAGACTAACCAATTTATTTGAGCATAAGCTTTCGTGAGCTACAACTCACTTCATCGGTGAATGCATCCGATGAAGTGAGCTGTAGCTCATGAAAGCTTATGCTCAAATAAATTTGTTAGTCTCTAAGGTGCCACAAGTACTCCTTTTCTTTATATGTAAGATTGTCTCTGGCCCATTGCTAATATTGACATTTACACATAGAATAGAAAGTTTGACTTTCTTTTGTAGATTCCTACATACAATACTTGGTGGAACAACTGATATATCTATCTTGGCCCTATCACCATGGTAGCTGAGAATCTATATAAAATCAACTTTTCTCTGAAAATAATACAGCAAATGGCCACAGACATGATCCAGACATTCTGAGGTTGCTGTGGCTTGGAATCATAACTGTTGCTCTATCTCAAAAGGGTCAGATTGTCACTGTGACAGTAGTCAGAATCAGCATGGTCCAGTATATAGGGTGAAATCCTGGCTCCATTGAAATCAATCATAAAACTTCCATTGACAATGGAGCCAGGATTTCATCCCTGGAGTCTATTCCTAGCTCTCCCATTTACTTGCTGTGTGTCTTTGGACAAGTCACATCATCTCTCTGCCTCAGTTTCCCCTTCAGCCTCCCTCCCCCGACCATAGATTGTAAGCTCTTTGGGGGGCAGGGACAGTCTTTTATTGTGTTTGTATAGCCCTGAGCACAATGGGGACTAATCTCAGTTTAAGTCTCTAAGCGCTACTGTAACACAGATTAATAATAATAAATGTTGTGATAATGGAGTGGTTGGCATTTTGTTTTACAGTGAGGATCTGGTCAAAAATGTGACTATGAAAACCAGCAGCTTTAATTTAAGAGATCTTCTCCCTGCGGGTATTTAGAATGCTTTAGTGACCAAAGTAAGTGTGAATGAAGTGATGTATAATAGCACCTGCTTTACTGCAGTTCAGTTCATTTCTAAAACCAAAGCGGTGTTAAAAATTAAGAGGCTCAATCATCTTGTCATTTGCATGCACACAACTGCTGTTGATTCACAAAAGAGCTGCAGGTGCACTAAGCATTGGACTTTCCTTAAAACAAAGTAACTGCTTTGGACTAATCCTCTTTAAACCAATAGATACATTCTTGCAGGAACTTCTGCCTTTGGTCTCCACATATTTTTTTAACCCTTTTGTGCCATCTTAAAAAGAGGTGTTGTCGTTTAGAAATATTTACAAAAATCATCATTTAACTCCAAGCAAGAAAATTACTTCATATTTAAAGGGTAAGCTAATGTTTCAGTGTGTACATCTGCTAATGAAACGTAGAGTTTAAATGAGATGCCAAATTGTGCCTTTATTTTTTTTCTCCTCAACCCTTCATAATCTATAAACTGGGATATAAATCACATAGGATGAATATTGATTTTACATTCATAAAGCTCTATAGCGTCCAAATATCCTTAGTTAGAGTGAGCGCTTCACAAGCTACATTATAAACAAAACACTATTTCGGGGGGTGGGGAGGGAGGCGTTTGCTACAGAGATGGTTACGTGCTCCTCCCTCACATGAAGTATACCAGAGAATATCTTGCAAAAGAAATCAGTCTGAAAGGATAATAAATCTAAAATAGTAACAATCTACAATTATAATTTTATAAATATAATAATGGATCTAAATAAGGATTCTTTGAAATAGGAGATATTTGGGGTGGGTGAATGGGTACGCTGACTTATCCACCTCTTTCTCCTATGCCCTTCTTTCTCCTCCAAACAAACAAACAAACAAACAAACAAAAAACTAGCTCTCTGAATCAGATCATATCTCAATTCAGTTGTAAAGTGGGTTAGAGGTATTTATGTGCACAGAAGCCACATAAAACATCTACTGAAGGAAGCAGGATGAATTATATAAATAGCACTCATTTGATTCCAATTATATATTAAACTTTTCTAATTGATTATAAGAAAATGTTTACTCCCTACCAGGAGCTGTGAATACGCCAGATATACTATTGTCTCCTGTAATGTTTTGTTTATAATTACTTTTTATTGTAAGCACAAACATGCTTTATTTTTCAAATATAGGTACCAGGAAGAAAGCAAAAAATATTCAGTACTTCCTTCTACTGTAATGAACTTGAAATCTAAGCAATAAAGAAATAAGAATGTACAGATGTATTTTCCTTTTCATATTTATTCTTTCATACTTTAAAATGATTAAGCTGGTATTTTGGGAAGTAATGTTCTTGCGTACATTTTAGATTTTGGTCATTTAGGGACTGGTTGTCAAAGGGAGCAAAGCCATAATGGGGCATCATTTTCTGTGTTTTCTCCCTATTATAGTATAGCTAAGTGGTCTGATGTTTCCTGCAAAATAGGTGCCTCTTCTGCTGTGCATGACATACATATTTTCCTTTGGACGAGGGGATGATTCTAGCGAACACAAAACAAAAAGAATACTAACCGATCAGTAAGTAATACCATCAGTAAAAGGAAAATCAGAAAAAGCATTGATCATGAATTAATGCTGCGTTGAGCTGGAATAACCTGCACTCTTTTACATACATGATTTTGTAGTTTTTGTAGCAATGCCTGCTGCATATGGATTGAGCATCTTTCTTGCCATCATACTCCTGCATAAATATAGCTGAACACATACAGAGATGATTTTAACATGATGCTCTCCAGCTCATCAGATAATGTCTCATACCTGTTATTGAATCACAATGAACAACTCCCCAGAATCTGCCGTTGTTAAGGGTATTTAAACTCCTCTGCACTTGTGATGGACTCAAGGAGGTTTAGCAACCTACAATGAACAATACCAAAAGTATCACTTTGCACAGGAAGAAGAATAGCTAAGTATCCAAAATTCATCTAAAATCACAGTGAAGTAAGGTGCAATTGTCCTTTAGGATTTGATATTTCATCAGTGTAATGAAGTCAACCTGTAGGGTACAGGTCAATAGGCAGCAAGTCATTCACAGGGAGCACACACCAAATTCTGTCAACCATAAATTCAGGCTCACTGAAAGGGCTCACAGAAAGTTACATACTTACATGAGAAATTGCAGTGACTCCAGCTGGACTAGTTACATGTTTAAAATTGCTCATGTACATACATGTTTGCAGGCTTAGGGAACCAAACAAACAATCTAGAGGCATCCCGGGCTGTCCCCACTATGAACTATGACATGTAGTCTATTGTTATGATGGGAATAGACTGCTTAAATCTTAATGTTGCCTGGCCCATGTCTGTATCTCCTCAGCAGAAAAGTAATTTTCTCCCCAAACCAGAAGACTCTGAATCTCGCTTGAAAGAAAATGTATGTTAAAGGAACATAGAGTCAGACCCATGACTGGGTGAGAAAACCTGGATTTGTGCTGGAAATGGCCCAACCTGATGATCACTTTAGATAAGCTATTACCAGCAGGACAGTGGGGTGGGAGGAGGTATTGTTTCATATTCTCTGTGTATATATAAAGTCTGCTGCAGTTTCCACGGTATGCATCCGATGAAGTGAGCTGTAGCTCACGAAAGCTCATGCTCAAATAAATTGGTTAGTCTCTAAGGTGCCACAAGTACTCCTTTTCTTTTTGCGAATACAGACTAACACGGCTGCTACTCTGAGACCCATGATAGTCCATCAGATCCTAGGCTTTCCCCTTTATGGTGGCCTAAGGAACAGATTTTTTTCAGCACCCACAATGGAGCCCAAATTCATCTCCCATTTACACACCTCAAAGCCAGTGCACAGACTCACCAACCTGGGAAAGAAAGGAGGAAGAACCAAAGTCCCAACTACAGGTCACTTCACCCTTTTTTCCTTAGAGGTGGCTTTATTTCCAAAAACAGAACTCAAAAGCACAACAAATTAGCAACACTACTGGAAAATAACCACTCGGAGCTCTCCAGCTACAGCGAGCTGAGAGAAGAGAGAACATAAACATCCCCCATGATAACCTTCTTTGAACCCACTTCCACTTTCCACCCAAAACAGCCACGTTATAGGGAGGAATCTATTAACCCCTTACACGCTGGAGTGCCTTTACACCTTGTCACAGAACCTCAGTGAACTGGCGGATTTTCCCAGCAGCTTCCAAGAAGAATAGCGGGAGCCATCAGGTTCTGAGTTCTTTTGAAAATCTGGCCTTAATGATAAAAGTGAGTCTTTTGTTCAGAGGTTAATTTTTTCCCCTTATTTTGGTTTTTGCAGCCCATGGGATCGGAGCGGATGGAGATGCGCAAACGGCAGATGTCTGTGGCCCAGGAGACACCAAGTTCCACACAGGCACCGCATGGCATTGGGAATCGAGCTTCCAATGCCTGCTGCTTTTGTTGGTGCTGTTGCTGTAGCTGCTCATGGTATGTCTTTCGGTGTCTCAGCTCAAACCTGCAGGGGTGCGTGATGGCCAGTAATCAGGACAACATAAACAGCACAGCAGTTGGGGTAATAATACAAGTCTGGAACGATAGGAAAAAGATGGCTATGTTGCAATTCTGGATGCAGTTTTCAGCTCCAGTTCTTGTGGGTTTTCCACTGAAATAATTAAGGATGTAAAAAGAGTTCTGTATACCAGCATCAGCTGGGTGTGTGTGGCAGGGGGGAAGGCGGGGGCTAAAATGGCGCTTTAAATAAAAAGGTATGTTATTCTTTTCCTAGCACTGCTCTAGGATGCACGCACATCATGGTAACAATTTCCTTGTTACTAAAGAACTGCTCATGTGCTTGATGTTGTACAAGACAGAACAGTCCAGTCCCAGCACCAAAAAAAGCTTACATTCTAAGGCTTTGTCTACACTAACGGGAAAAGTTGATCTAAACTATGCAATTTGAGTTACATGAATAGCGTAACTCAAATCAACGTAGCTTAGATCTACTTACCGCAGGGTCCACACTACACAATATCGACGGGGGACGCTGTCCCGTCATCTCCCCTTACTCCTGATTTTGTGCTTTAACTTTGAGAAACAAAAAAGGAAATTGTTCATAAGGAATAGAGATAGATGTGAATTAGTGCAGGGTCTCTTTCTATGAGAATGATTATGGCCATGTTTAGTAGTATCGTAAAGAATGAGATTCTGGCAACTGCAGAAAGCTTTTTAAGCCACCAGATCTTCATATGCTTTGCCCATTAAAGGCATTACATATTAATGCTAAACAACAGTAATAACCAACTGCAGGTAGTTGTAACATTGGACTACTTTCACCCATGGCTTTCTGGGTTGCTAGAAATGGCCAAATTAAAATTATTCCTCTAGAATAGAGAAGACGGAAAGAGGTGCAATGAAAGAGTGTAACGTAGGTTCAAAACTATCAGTCAATGAGGTTCTTATTTACTATGAGAAATCTCATTGGCTGTTAGAGTATCTACCTGACAGAATATCCAGATTTGCATTTAAGGTCCAGGCCCACTAAAATAGAATAACTATATAGAGAGGATCACTACAGAGCTTTGGGACATTTGGTTCCTGGAAGATGTCATAAGAACAGGTTAAAAATTAACTTGTATAGGGACAGTTCCTGCAAGATGGAGAACTCCCAGTGGGAGCTGAGCACCTAGCAGGCAGAAGACAGCACTACCTATATTTAGTTTTTCACTTACTACAGCCTTTTGCTTTCTTGACTAAACATGAGGCTGCCATCCCCTTATTCATTCCAGGATTTCATATTTTAGTTGTGTGTCAGTCAGTCTTATCACAAACTAAAATAGCCATCCCTTTTCTCCTTGATAAGTCATTTGTCACACTATAGTGGTATCTTACCATACCTTTAGTGATGATGATAGTTTTTCCTGAGTGAATCTGCAACACTGTACCAAATTGATGGAACTGCATGTGGCCATGATCCCACTCCACCCATTCACTTTTAAGATCCACTCTTTGTGGACAGAATAAATCTCTCTTGCTGTGCAGATTTGCAAGACTGAAGACTGCGTCCTTGAAGCTTCTTTACCTCCACATTCAGATAAAAGTAGGCAAACTTCTGGGTCCAAAAATAAAGTGGCCAACCTGTATAGAAAATGGTTAGTTACTGTAACTGTGATTTTTTGATATGTGATGCAGACATGTATTCCACGTAAGTGTGTGCATGCCCAGAGAATTTTGCCTAGCAATACCCATAGAGGAGTAATGTTTGTGCCTCATGGCCATAGCCCCTCCCTTGGCTATATGAGGTGGTACCGCCCCGACCCCCCTCAGTTTCTTCGCATCAAATGCCCAGAGACTAGACTCTGATGCAGAGGGCATGGAGGGTGGGTCATGGAATACACATCTGCATCACATCTTGAAGAACCACAGTTACAGTAGGTAGCCATTTCTTCTTCTTTGAGTAGATGCAGCTGTGTATTTCACTTAGGTGACTCACAGACAGAACCCTGGGTGGCTGGGCTCAGTCTACCTAAACACGGTTTGCAAGACCTCCCTACCAAAACCTGCATCCACCCTGGAAGCTGTGGTGATGACATATTAGTTCATAAATGTATGTATGTACAACCATATGACAGCCCTGCATATGTCCAATATTGAGATGTCACTCAGGAACTCTACTGACGTAGCTTGTGCTCTCTTAGAATGAGCTCATACCTATTGAGGAGGCATAGCTGAAGTTGTTTCATATGCAGTCTTGGTACAGGATCTTACCCATTTAGAGATAGTCTGTGAAGAGACTGCTTGCTTCTTCGTAGGATCTGCATATGACACAAACAGGCAAGGCAAAGCATGAAACACCTTAGTCCTGTCCAGATAGGCGGCTAGACATCGCTTGACATCTAATGAGATGAATGTGGAATAGGAAATAACAGAGGTAAATATACTGCCTGGTTCAAATGAAACTGAGAGACCACTTTAAACAAAAATTTGGGATGTGGTCATAAAGTCACTTTGTCTTCAGATAATTGTGTATAAGGAGGCTCTGCCATCAGAACCTGCAACTCTCACACTCACCTTGCAGATGTTATTACTCCACTTTCCACAACAGCGGAAAGGGACAAAATGCCAGAGGCTCAAATGGAGGTCCCATTAAATCTGCTAGGACTGTGTTAAAGTCTCACAGAGGAACTGGCTGTCAGACCGGAGGATGAAGAAACCATTTTAAGAATCTTGTTACCATGGCAATGGAGAAGACTGATCTTCCCTGAATGCTCCAGCATGTTGATATGCATGCAGCATGCAGTGAGCACTCCTGCTCTGACCACAGACCTTCAACTTTCAGCAACCCCACATGTGCTCCCCAAGCCATCAGAGAAGCATCAGTGACAAGAGATCTGGTTGGTAACTACTGGACGTCCTGGCAAACCTTCTCTGGATACATCCACCACTGCAAGGAGTCCAGGACCAGTTGAGAAAGATGGCGGCGAAGAGTCAGATGGTAAATAGTCCTGAGTCACATTTGGAGAGGCCGAAGGCACAGCCTTGCAAACTGGACCACCTGCATGCAAACTGACATGTGGCCCAAGAGCCTCAGGCACATTTGAACTGTCATGGAAAGCTGAGACCGGAGACTGAGGTAAAGATGGTGAATTACCTGAAAATGGCCAGTTGGCAGAAATGTTCTCAAACTTGTAGAATGTACTAGGGCCCTAGTGAACTCTATTTTCTGAGTGAGAACCATGCTTGACTTCCCAATGTTTAGGATGAGACCCAGACGGCTGAGGGAGTGCAGTATAATGTCAATGTGAGAAAGAACTTCCTCTGTGGACCTGTCACTCAGTAACCAGTCATCCAGGTATGGGAAGATATGGATTTCTTTCTTTCTGAGATATGCTGTCATGACAACCATGCATTTGGACAGAAGAGAATCCGAATGGAAGCACTGTATACTGAAAATGGTGCTCTGCTGTGACAAATCAAAGAAATTTTCTGTGGCCTGGCAAAATCGCCACATGAAGGTAGGCATCCTGAAGGTTCAGAGCAACAAACCAATTGTTCTGAGACAATGTGGGGATGATAGTCAATAGAGTGATCATTTGGAACCTCATGTATCTGATATTTTTGTTGACACCGTAAAGGTTGAGAATGGGTCTTAACCCTCCCCTGGGTTTGGGCACCAGAAAGTATCAGGAATAGCACCTATGATTCCAGTGTTCTGGTGGAACTCCTCCCCCACTCCCAAAGCCAGTAGACCACAAACCTGCTTGAGGAGCAATATCTTGTGAGAGGGGTCCCTGAAGAGGGGCGGGAAGGGATGGTGGGAAACTGGATTGCATAGCTTGATCTGACAGTGCTTAGGACCCAGCTGCCTGTGATCAAGCCCCAAGTATTGTAGAAATGGGCCAGCCTGTCCCCAAATGGAGGGAATGGGGAGAACGGAGCAATGACTGGAACACTGTTCTGAGCCAAGGAGTCAAAATCGGTACTTGCAGGACTCGTGTGGACCGACCAAACCCCAGACCTGACTTTCTCCTCCTATGGGAGCTATGCCCTTTTCTGGGATAGTCCCACCGTCTTGGGGGGAAGGAAAGGCTGCCCAAATGTGCACCGTGGACAGCTGCTGCTACTGTTGATCACCGTAGTGGTACCTCTGCACTGCTGATGTATACACCCCCAAGGACCAGAAGGTAGCCCTAGAGCCCTTGAAGTAGTTCAGAGTCTCATCCATCTTGGCTGAAAATAGTGCTTGGTCATCGAAGGGTAAATTCTCTATGGCCTGCTGCACATGGGGAGCAATGCCTGAATTCCGCAGCCAGGAAATCCTTCTCATGGTTATCACCGAGGCCATCACTCTGGCCAAAAGTATCTGCAATGTCCAGCATGGACTGCAACAGAGTCTTAGCCACCAAGCAGCCTCTAGTGACAAATGACTGACATTCCTCGCTCGCGGCTTCGGGCAGCTGATCTGCAAACTTAGACATAGCCACCCAGTTCACAAAGTTGTACTGGGACAGCAATGTCTGCTGGTTAGCAATCCACAAGGAAGAGGAGGTGTAAATATTCTTGCCCATCAGGTCCACTCATTCAGAGTCCTTATCCTCGGGATGGGTCTTAAAGCTGCCCTGCTGGGCTCTTATTCACTACGGTTATGACCCCGGAATCTGGGCACAGATGTGAGTAAAAACGTTCACACCCCTGCACCAGAATGAAGTAGTAGGTTCTCCATGTGCTTTGCTGCAGGTGGTGCCAAAGCCAGTGTGCTCCAGAGGACCTCAGCAGGCTCAAGGACTACATTGTTAATAGAGAGGGCTACTCTCCCAGGGACAGATGGCTGCAGAATATCCACTAACCTATGGGCGTTCTCCTGCAGGAACGCCACTTGAATTCCAGGGATGCAACCAAGTGCTGCAAAAGGTCTTGAAATCCTCCTGTAGCAAAGGAGAGGAAGAGCCAGGCACTGTGGAATTGTCCAAGGATGAAGATGAAGCAGTTAA